TTTTTTAATCAATGGGAGAAGACAATTATGTGCCAGCTGTGCTTTCACCCAGAGGGCATATGAACAGAAGACATGAGGAAAAGATAATCAATTCCAAGTAGTGAGTTCTGTCTAGTTGAAAGGATAGGAGTTATTTACATTTTTAAAACCTTTTATTTTTTTTCTTTTTGTCCGTGGGGCTTGAACTCTGGGCCTGGGTGCTGTCCCTCAGCTCTTCAGCTCAAGGTGAGTGCTCTGCCACTTGAGCCACAGTACCACGTCTGGTTTTCTGAGTGGTTTATTGGAGATAGGAGTCTCACGGATGTAGGTTCCCAGGCTGGCTTTGAACCATGATCCTCAGATCTCAGCTTCCTAAGTAGCTAGGATTACAGGTGTGAGCCCCCGGTGCCCAGCCTGTATTATGTTTTTTATACTGATTGGCTACCGTTCTTGGAATAAAAATAAATCCACTATGAGATTTGAATCATTTTACCACTTAGCTTAGTAAAGATTTAAAGTATATAGTAGACCTTCAAGGTTAATGAATGCTTTGACAAAAATGTATGACAAATTGCCCATTGTAAATTTTTTAACTGCTCAGAGCTGCATAGGCTGGGAAAGCTGGTGTTAACTCTCAGTCATTCACTGTTACAATGTTGATGATAGCAGTTAGGAAAATTATGAAGATGTTAGTTCCATGTCTTCTGAGACTAATTTTTTTTGTTCTTGTTGTTTTGGTTTTTGGTTGTGGGACTTGAACTCAGCCTGGGAGCTGTCCCTCAGCTCTTCAGCTCAATGCTAGTGTTATACCACTTGAGCCACAGTGCCATTTCTGGCTTTTTCTGGTTATGTGGTGCTAAGGAATTGAACCCAGGGCCTCATGCATTTGAGGCAAGCATTCTACCACTAAGCAGCCTTCCCAGCCCCTAAATGGTTGTTTTATAAAAATAAAAAATAAACCAGCTAGGTGGGCATTAGTGGCTCATGCCCAAAATCCTAGCTACTGAGAAGGTTGAGATTTGAGGATCAAATCTCCTATAGAGATAGGAGTCTCACACTTTCCTGTCCGGGCTGGCTTCCTCAGATCTCAGCCATCTGATTACAGGTGTGAGACACTGGTACCCTGCTCAAAATATTATTTTTAGCTTATGGTAGGAGATAGGCTAGATTTTATTTATTTTTAGTTTTTTGGTTGGTTGTGGGGCTTGAACTCTGGGCTTGGATGCTGTCCCTGCACTCTTCAGCTCAAGGCGAGTGCTCTACCACATGAGCCACGGCACCGCTTCCTAGGCTAGATTTTATTTTATTTATTTATTTTTTTTTGGGTCTGGTCATGGGGCCTGAACTCTGGGCTTGAGCGCTGTCCCTAAGCTCTTCAGCTCAAGGCTAGTGCTCTACCACTTGAGCCACAGCGCCACTTCCGGCTTTTTTCTTTTTGCTTATGTGGTGCTGAGGAATCGAACCCAGGGCCTCGAGCATGCAAGGCAAGCGCTCTACCACTGAGCCACCTTCCCAGCCCCTAGGCTAGATTTTAAATGAGCCTGGTGTCAGTGGCCCTTGCATATAATCCTAGCTACTTAGGAGAGTGAGATCTGAGGATTATGGTTCGAAGTCAGCCTGGGTAGTAAAGTCCATGAAACTATTATCTCCAATTAACTACTAAAAAAAGCAGGAAGTGGAGCTATGGCTCAAGTGTTAGGAGTGCTCGCCTTGAGCAAAAAAGCTATAAAGGACAGCCTCAGTACTGGGGAGGGAGGAAGGGAGGAAAAAGGAAAAGAAGAAAACTACACTCTAACATTAAGCCTCTACTGAGTTTTGTGTTTATGTTCGTCTGTGGCACTGTGGCTTGATGGGCGGGAGGTGTACACCACATTCTATACCACAATTGGTACAGTTGAGGTGGTAATCTGAAGAAGCACACCAGCAGCCATCTGTAAGTGGGTCAGGCCTAGAAATCCTAGCCCTACCAGAGGTAGCTTTGGAGATTGGCAGCTGATGAGGAAACTGAGGCTTGGATGTCACATACTTTGCCCAGAGACAGAATCGGCACCAGCATTGAGTTTAGAACCCTGATGCCACATTCCTTTACAAAACCATGCTAATTCCTGTTCTCATCAGAAAACTCACCTTCTCTACCAAAAATGGAACCCTCCAACTGTGAAATCATTTCAGCGAAGATAAATTACCGAGCATGTTTTCAGCCATAGTTAATGGTATACACCTGACAGCATCGACCTGTTTGGGAATAGGTCCCTTGGGTTGCTTCAATGAATGAGCAACAGTGTGGCAATGGTGTAAGTGCCAGTCTTTAATTGTTGAGAGCAGTTCTGAGAGTACACTGAACTGGAATAACCCTGACAATAGGGAAAGTGTGGCGTGATGTCAACTTGTGACCCTTCCCTGGGGACTGAGCCGCGTCAGGAGACCCAAGGTTTTTAGGCCATGCTCCCAGGTTCTGAATGGGGGAACTACAATGGCACCTAAGAGATTACCTTCAGTTTTTAATGGTTGGGGGAGAGGGGGAGATTTTTGTGAAGCTGCCTAGTGGTAGATCAAATAAAGCTGGATTTCCTTCTTTCTTTTTCTCTCTTTCTTCCTTTTGTTCTTTGTTTCCTCCTCTTTCTTTTTCTCCTCCTTTCCTTCTCTCTTTTTCTTTTCTTTTTCTTTTTGTAGTACTAGGGTTTGAAGTTTTGTTTTAATTATTCTTCAGGTAGGGTCTCACATTATTTGCCAGGGCTTGACTGGATTGTGATACCCATGTTTATATCTTCTGCCTAGAAGGGATGGCAGGCATGGGTTACTACCCCCAACTTAATGGTTGCAGTGGAGGTCTTCCTAACTTCTTGCTTCAAGTGGCCTCAAACTGAGATCCTCCCAGTCTCTACTTTTCAAGTAGCTGGAATTATAGATGTGTGTCACCATGTGCAAGCTGCTGGTTGTTGTTGTTTTTTGTTTTGTTTGTTTTGCTTGGGGCTTGAACTCAGGGCCTGGGCACTGTCCCTGAGCTCTTTTGCTCAAGGTAGCATTCTACCACTTGAGCCACAGCACCACTTCCGGCCTTTTCTGTTTATGTGGTTTTGAGGAATCGAACCCACGGCTTCATGCTAGACAAGCACTCTACTGCTAAACCACCAGCCCTGCTGTTTGTTTGTTTGTTTTTTTAAGTGAGATCAGACAGCATAAACATGTCTCTAGGAACTTACTCTACAACTCCAGAGAAATTGACATTGCCCTTCAGAAATCTCCTTGCCATTGGTATATTATTAGTGACAGAAGAGTTTCATCAGACTGGGAGCCGGTGGCTCATGCCTGTAATCCTAGCTACTCAGGAGGCTGAGCTCTGAGGATCACTATTCAAAGCCAAGTTGGGCAGGAAAAGTCCATGAAACTCAAACTACCAGAAAACCGGAAGTGGCGCTGTAGCTCAAATGGTAGAGTGCTAGCCTTAAGCTGAAGAGCTGAGGGACAGCGCCCAGGCCCAGAGTTCAAGCCCCACGACTGACAAAAAAAAAAAGTTTCATCAGGGTTGTCGGTAGCTCAGTGGTACAGCTTGTGTGTAGCATGTGTGAGGCCCTGGTTCAAACCCCAACACCAAAAACCAAAATAAATAAATGCAAGAATATTGTCAGAATAAACTGATGTTTACCATACTGTGTTTGGGTCCTGGTAGAAAAATGTCCTAGTCTCACAGAGTATATCCTTCACCTGACCTTCAGTACCATTGGCCACAGTCCCAGCCAACCCTTCCTACTCTACACTAGTATAGTCATACCTGAGGCCAGACTGAGCCTTGTCCCACATAGCTGTGGTTGTAGCCCTGGCCTTTGATTTTCAAGCATGCCTCTTCTCCCTGCCCCAATGTGAGTGCACATCCTCCCCTCTACTTCAAATCCTGTCTATAGTCGGGGCCCAAGTCCATTCTCAGTCTTCTCTGTGCAGCGCTGGCTCAGGAACACTTCTGCCTGTCCCATATGCAGAGGCAGCTCCAGTTTGACCTGGTGGGAAAGAGAATGGATAAATGGACTCTGGTGCCACTACTGCCTGGGGCATCGTGGGCTGCAAGATTTTCACATGGAAAATTAGAGATGATAATTGCACTTGGCCTGTGGTCATGCAGTTAGATAGGTTCAAACCGTTAAAGTCTGTACAGTAATGCTGGACACATGTGTTCTCATTATTATTCCTCTTACATGTATTGAGTCATAACCTTCGTGGTGGTGGTGTTTAGTCATTTAAATTATCTATTTCTTAGTCCCTAGTAAAACAGTAAGATCTTCCCATGACATAAAAGACTTGATCTTGTTTGTTTTTTTGTTGGTCCTGGGGCTTGAACTCAGAGCCTGGGCACTGTCCCTGGGCTATTTTGCTCAAGGCTATAGCATTCTACCACTTGAGCCACAGAACCACTGATAGTTAATTGGAGGTAAGAATCTCACACGTCTGCCTGGGCTGGCTGTGAACCGTGGTCCATCTCAGATCTCAGCCTCCTGAGTAGCTAGGATTACAGGCGTGAGCCACCAGTACCCTACGATCTTGTATTTTTTTAATTGATTGTTTACTACCTGTGCATATAAAATCCTCACTATACCTCACTTAAAATGAAACAAGGTGTTCAAGAAAATAGATTGAGCAAGGAATAAGATAAATTGGGGACCATGTGATAGTTGTTTTAACAGACTCTCCTTGCTGATAAGGAAAAAATCACCAATGAAAAGGTGACCTTAGCCTTCAGCCTCTTCAGCTTCCTGCCCCTCCTTTTTTAGTATCGCAGATACTTACAAATACCATCTTTACCTGTCAGTATCACAGGCATTTAAGGGAAATCAAAAGTTTACCCATATTAGGAAGAAGATGCAGGCTTGGTGGATCACACAGTAAAATTAGGCTGATTACAGACAGGCTTCTGCTAGGGCCTTCTTCCACCCACTGATCCCTCATCGAGGGTCCCTTGCCAACCCCCACCTCTCCCCCCTCCACGGCGTGCTCTCTCCTAGATGAAAATTCTGCCTTTTTCTTCCTAGGCTGGAACAAGACATTAAAAAGTTAAAGGCTGACCTGCAAGCCAGCAGGCAAGTGGAACAAGAGCTCCGCAGTCAGATCAGCTCCCTCTCAAGCACTGAGCGAGGGATGCGTTCAGAAATGGGCCAGCTCCGGCAGGAGAACGAGCTGCTGCAGAACAAGTACGTATACCTTGCTGGCCCTTGGCGGCCAGCCTTGTGGCCTTGCTATGTCTCTTATTTCCAGGGCTTGGAACACAAGATTCATGGTGCCACAGACCTAGCAGAGAAGTTTTAAATAAAATGTTTACAGCTATTTGATTTAGCATCATGTATGTTTTATAAAATATGTAAAAACATCATGTTTATTTATACTATTTTTTCTTTTCTCTTTTAATAACTTATTTACTTATATGAGGTAGTTATTGAGATCTTGTAATAATATAAGTAAAATTGATAAGTAATTCTACAACTTGAAAATCGTGTTTCTTTGAGTGAAAATTTCCAGGGGATCAGACTACATTTACTTTGATTCTCAGAACTAGAAAGTGACATTGAACTTCGATTTCGATTTTATTTGAAGAGGCCAGAAAAAAGTCAACATTTCCAGGAGAATTCTTGTAAGCTTTCCATTAATTCATTCTGGAATTCCTTGTTGACTCAATGTAAAACTTGTCTTTTTTTTTTTTCCCCCCCTAAGCAATGTAGTTACATTATAGGCTCTGGGCTTTCCTTTTAAAAGAAGAGTCCCAAAGCTAGAATATTACAGGTTTTTAAAAACAAAAAAACTCAGTAGTGTTTCTGACCAACATTTGTTTGTGATGGTGCTAGCATTGATCCCTGGGGAACATTCTCATGCTAAGCCCACCTCGCATTAATAGGTTGAAACTGTGGGCTTTTCTGAGTGATGGATTTGGGAACACTGAGTAAGTGGCTCAGCCAGAAAGGCTACAAAATGACTATTTTCAGTAGTAGAAAGACCTCTTTCTCCCACAGTAGAGCAATTTCAATGGGCTAGTCCCATCTGTGGCCTTTGATGCCACTAAAGTTCTAGTTTCTAAGTACTTTGCAGCACTATAGTTAGATCCACAATGATTCCCCTCTATTAGAAACCTCCCAAAGCCTGTGTGCTAAACTACCTACAATGGATCCCTTACCTTGAGGGAGCAGAGCATAGGGCTGATGCTGAGTCATTTAAGATACCTTGGTGGGGGGGGGGGTGGTAGAGATGGGAGGGCAGGGATGGTAAGGGGAAACAAAGGTGGAGGCCACAATGCTTGATAAGAAATGTACTCATTACCTTGCTCATGTAATTGTAATCCCTCTGTACGGTATTTTCACAATAAAAAAATAATAAAAAAAAGACACCTTGCTTATTGTTCAGGAATTGTTAAATATGTTTCCTCTGGGCACACTGGGAGTTGATATTTATGATTTGCTGTTCAAACTTCCTGTTTACTTGACCTGAAATGGTAGGGGAAAAACAAAAGGGTTTATAGTGGGTTTTTCAAACAGTAAAACGTTAGTGATAACTGTTTCCCTATAGGTTACATAATGCTGTGCAAATGAAGCAAAAAGATAAGCAGAATATCAGCCAGTTGGAAAAAAAGCTAAAAGCTGAACAGGAAGCCCGAAGTTTTGTAGAAAAGCAGTTAATGGAGGAGAAAAAAAGGAAGAAGTTAGAAGAAGCCACTGCTGCCCGGGCTGTTGCATTTGCGGCTGCATCTAGGTATGTCCATGTGACCCGAGTGTTTAAAACAAGGCTGCTTTTCAGGACCAACATGCAGATCTGATGCTTTGGGTGGGATTGGACAGACAGCAAACATACCGGGATGGATTTTGTTTGTGTGATTTGTGTAGAATTGAAGATCAGATCCAGGGCCTTGTGCATGTTAAGCAAGTACTCAGTCACTGAGCTGTATGCCCAGCCCTACTGGATTGCTTTTAATACTGTTTTTGTTGTTGTTTTGTTTTTTGTTTTGTGTTGATCCTGAGGCTTGAACTCAGGGCCTAATTTCTATTCCTGAGCTTTTTTTTTTTTTGCTCATGTCTAGTGTTCTACCACTTGAACCACAGTTTCAGTTCCAGATTTTGGGTTATTAACTGAAGATAAGAGTTTCCTGGGCCAGGCGCCCAGTGGCTCATGCCTGTAATCCTAGCTACACAGGAGGCTGAGATCTGAAGATCATAGTTCAAAACCAACCCTGGCAGGAAACCACCAGAAAACCGGGAGTGGCACTGTGGCTTAAGTGATAGAGTGCTAGCCTTGAGCTGAAGAGCTCAGGGACAGCGCCCAGGCCCAGAGTTCAAGCCCTACAACCAAAAAAAAAAAAAAGAGTTTCATGGACATTCCTGCCCAAGCTGGCTTTGAAGTATGATCCTCAGCCACTAGCACCTGGCAAGAGATTTTTTTTTTCTAATAAAGTTGATTGACTCCCTACTGGAGACAGTGCATTCACTTCTACCTTAATCTGCTCTGTATGCATGAAGTCAAGTCACCATGGCTGGTAGAAGATTGTATTAGAGGGGCTGGGAAGGTAGCTCAGTGGTAAAGTGCTTGCCCTGCATGCATGAGGCCCTGGGTTCAATTCTTCAGCATCACATAAGCAGGTGCTGTGGCTCAAGTGATAGAGTGCTAGCCTTGAGCTGAAGAGCTGAGGAATAGCATCCAGGCCCAGAGTTCAGGCCCCACAACTGGACCAAAAAAATAAAAAGAAAGCTAGAAGACTTTGATAACCTATAAGCTAAGGTTAAACTAATGTTATATCTATGTCACTTTAGTTTTCTTATCTGGAAAATGGGGTAATATACTTTAAGTTGTTAGGTAAATACCTAGCCTACAGTCTGGCTCATATAGACATTCAATTAATGGGTATCATTTTAGATCATTGTTGAAATGATCAGAAATGGAATGAATATATTGAGCCCAAAGTTAAAACCTGACAAACCCTGGAGTATAAAAAAATACACCAGCCAGGCACTGGTGGCTTACCCCTGTAATCCTAGCTACTCAGGAGGATGAGATCTGAGGATCGCAGTTCAAAGCCAGCCTGGGCAGGAAAGTCTGTGAAACTCTTATCTCCAATAAACCACCAGAAGACCGGAAGTGGCGCTGTAGCTCAAGTGATAGAACGCTAGCCTTGAGCTGAGGGACAGAGCTCAGGCCCAGAGTTCAAGCCCCATGACCAGAAAAAAATAAAAAACATCAGACCTTTACCAGGTACTGGTGTTTTTCACCTGTACAGTAATCTTCGATACTCAGGATTCTAAGATCTGAGGATCATGGTTCAGAAACAGCCCAGGAGGAAGATCTGTGAGACTCTATCTTCAATTAACCACCAGAAAACCAGAAATAGAGCTGTGGCTTGAGTGTTAGAGCACTAGCCTTGAGCAAAATAGCTGAGGGACAGCACCCAGGCCCAGAGTTCAAGCCCTAGGACTGGCCAAAAAGAAGAACAAAATATATCAGTCCTGCAGTGTAAGTACAGGCAGCCATTTATATCATAGGGTTCCACATAGAGATTCAACTATAGATAGCATATGTTTGAAAAAGTGAATTGTCAGTATTGAACACGAGAGACTTTTTGCTCTTGTCATTTTACCTACACAGTATGCTAGAACAGCTATCTACATGTCATTGACACTATGCTGGGCATTAGAGGTGGGGATGGTATTGTACAGGAAGATGTCCATAGGTCATATACCAAAACTATGCTGTTTTGTTTTTTTAGTTTTTTCACTCTTTTCTTTCTTTCTTTTTTTTTTTGACAGTCCTGGGGCTTGCTTCAGGGACTGCTGTCCCTGAGCCTCTTTGAGGCTTGAGCTCTACCACTTGAGCCACAGCACCATTTCTGACTTTCTGAATAGTTTGTGAACTTTTTTGTGTGTGTGTGTGTGGGTCATGGGGCCTGAACTCAGCCTGGGCGCTGTCCCTCAGCTCTTCAGCTCAAGGCTAGCGCTCTACCACGTGAGCCACAGCAGCACTTTTGGCTTATTCTGTTTATGTGGTACTGAGGAATTGAACCGAGGGCCTCATGCATGTGAGCAAGCACTCTACCACTGAGCCACCTTCTCAGCCCTTTTTTTCTGAATAGTTTATTGGAGAAGGGAGTCTTATGGACTTTCCTGCCTGGGATGGCTTTGAATTGTGATCTTCAGATCTCAGCCTCCTGAGTAGCCTGGATTATAGGCGTGAGCCATTAGTGTCCTGCTAGACTATGCTATGGTTTTTTTCCCCCAAGTTCTTTATTGTGATTAAGTGATTACATAATTTCCCAACTTTCACAGTCTTGTGGGATAGTGATGCTTAGTTAAAGTCACATACACATTCTAACTTTCATGAGGCAAATTGTCTATCGTGGGGGCTGGGAAGGTGGCTCAGTGGTAGAGCACTTGCCTTACATGCCTAAGGCCCTGGGTTCGATTCCTCAGCACCACATAAGCAAAAAGAAAAAAGCCGGAAGTGGCGCTATGGCTCAAGTGGTAGAGCGCTAGCCTTGAGCTGAAGAGCTGAGGGACAGCGCCCAGGCCCAGAGTTCAGGCCCCACGACCGGACCCCAAAAAAAAAATTGCCTATCGTGGTCTATAACATTTATGAGTTCTATGAGCTTTGCAATACAGTTATTTCTTCACATTGGGTGCTATATACATTTCTTTTGTTTTGCAGTGTCAGCTGTTTCCTCTTTCCTACTCGTTTTCTCCCTCCCATCGCTGCCATTGAGTTGCTTAGTTCATTTTGATCAATGTCCAGTGCGGCTGATGGGCCTGCTGTTGTATGTTTTTCCCTGATTCCCTCTAGTTCTGTGTCATCCTCCTGGTTTCCCTCCAATGTGCACATATATATCATATATGTGGTCAGCAGCATGGGGTTATTTAGTAGTGCTTCGACCAGATGAGTGGAAGTCCTTTGTTTCTTAAGCTTTGTTAATTTTGTCATATCACCTTACATTTTGGATTTAACATCCACTTATCAGGGAGACCATGTGCCGTTTGTCTCTTTGCTCTTGGCTTACCTCGCTCAACATAATTTCTTCTAGCTCCATCCATTTCCCTGCAAATGCCATTATTTTGTCATTTCTAATGGCTGCATAATATTCCACTGTGTACAGATACCACAGTGTTTGGATCCATTCATCTGTGGTGGGACATCTGGGTTGTTTCCATATCCTGGCTATTGTGAACAGTGCTGCAATAAACATGGAGGTGCATGTGTCCTTCTATACTGGTTCCTGTTGTTCAGGATAGATGCCTAGAAGTGGTATGACTGGGTCATAAAGGAGGTCAGTATTTAGCTTTCTGAGGACCCTCAAGACTACTTTCCAAAGTGGTTGTATAAGTGTACATTCCCACCAGCAGTGTAATAGGGTTCCTCTTTCTCCACATAGACTATGCTGTTATATGAATGAACTTGAGCCAGGCGCTGGCGGCTCACACCTACAATCCTAGCTACTCAGGAAGCCAAGATCTGAGGATCACAGTCAAAGACAGCCTAGGCAGAAAAGTACCTAGGAAACTCTTATCTCAAATTAACCACTCAAAAACTAGAAGTTGAGCTGTGGCCCAAAGTGGTAAAGCATTATCTTTGAGTATAGAGCGATGGGACAGCACCCAGGCCCTGAATTCATGACCCACGACTGATGGGGGGTGGGGAGGGAAACTTGAGCCTGTGTAGATTTGGATTTTGGCATCCAGTAGGATCTTGGACCAATTCCCATGAACACAGAGGGAGAAATGTAAACTATAGTTTCCTAAATCCCTCGTTTCCTTCTCCTTTCTACAGGGGAGAATGCACTGAAACCTTGCGGAACCGGATCCGAGAACTAGAAGCAGAAGGCAAGAAGCTCACAATGGACATGAAGGTGAAAGAAGACCAGATTAGAGACCTAGAACTGAAAGTTCAGGTAATGGGAAACAAAAGACTTTGCTCCTGCTGAATTCCTCTCTTAGCCTAGATTATGCTCTGTGCTTCACTGTGGTGCTTGTGATACAAACCAAATCTCATTGCATCTGAAAATTTGTGTGCAACAAAATGACTAAACACTCTAACCACGTCCAGCTCATTCAGTCCTGCTTAAAATGGTCAGATCCTAATATAAGTCAGAAATGTTGACAGCCTCTTGGCATGTTTTATAGTAGGATTTGGCTTACAGAGATTCATTTAAATGTTTCAAGCTACAGTTCAGATTATTGTCCTTAGTTTTTTTTGGTTTGGGTTTTTTTGTTGTTGGTGGTGGTGGTCATGGGGCTTGAACTCTGGGCCTAGGCGTTGTCCCTGAGCTCTTCATCTCAAAGCTAGCGCTTTATCACTTGAGCCACAGTGCCACTTCCGGTTTTCTGAGTGGTTTAGTGGAAATAAGAGTCTCATCTTGCCCAGGCTGGCCTTGAACCGAGATCCTCAGATCTCAGCCTCCTGAGTAGCTAGGATCACAGGCGTGAGCCACCAAATGCATGGCCAGATTAGTGTCCTTTGGAAGCCACACATCTCTCTTTAATTTTGAGTCTTGCAGATTATAGCTCTGAGCTATGCATAACAAGGAAAGGGGGAAAGGGCTGTGATGAAAGGTGAAAGAGTTGTGGACACAGCCACCACCTGGGGCCAGATGTCCCTTAACCAAGTCATTGGCATTACTTCTTCACAGTGACATTTTAATGCCATGTATTACAGTGATACAGTCATTTTAATTTTGTGGGACTGCTAAGAAATTATTGGCAAGTCAGTAGAGTAACTGAGCAAAGCTGCCATGTACAGGAAAGGTAGCATCAAAGATAGAAAAGATGGGGGGGCAGGTTGGGGAGGTGGGGAGGGAAGGGATGGTAGTGGAAAAACAAAGGAGGAGGTGACAATGCTGGATAGGAAATGTACTCATTACCTAACTCATGTAACTGTAACCCCTCTACAGAATCTTTACAATAAAAATATATTAAAAGATGAGTTGATAAAAAGGCTTTGCAATTTTGGGATAGTGGGGGAAAACAGGATTCAGAACTCATAACATGCAAAAAGAAAATCCAGATTAAAAGTTGAATGCAGAAGCTGGGGCCATGGCTCAGCGGTAGAGATCTTGCCTAGCAAGTGCAAAACCCAGTACCACCAAAAAGAAAGTTTAAGTCTGGTGCTGGTAGCTCATGCTGTAATCCCAGCTACTTAGGAGGCTAAGATACAGAAGATCACAATGTAAGATCCAAGGAACTGAAGTGTAAGAGACTCCATCTCTGATTAACCACCAAAATTCCAGACTGGAGGAATAGCTCAAGTGGTAGAACACCGACTGAGCAAGCAAGCCAGATGAGCATGAGATACTGAGTTCAAACCCTAGTACTGCCAAAACGAAAATAGTAAAAGAAGAAAAGAGAGTGGAATGCATAAGAAAAAAATATTCTAAGTTACTGTTTCACCAGAGCTTAAACTTGGGGGTCATAACTTGCTTGGCTGACTTGCTCCCAGCCAGTGCTATATGATTTGAGCTACAATTAATTCTAGCCCATAAGTATTCTGGGTTTACAAGCCACTTCACAAGTGGCCATCAAAGAAAAAGTTCTCTGTGGTCTTGAATTAAACTAGCAAGAAAGTGATGGGTGTGGAGGCAGAGACCATTGTCATTAGCATATGACTATGCTAATGTGCCCCACACATTGGTGAACTCATTACTCTTGAATGGTTTCCTGTGTGCATATCACCATGGAGATGGAGTTGACCCTTGCTCCCCAGAATAATGTGTAAAGTCTTAAAGTATGAGATTCTGTTTCAGTGGCCAGGCCAAGAATAGTGATTAAGCTAGTGCTGGTGGATCACGCCTATAATCCTAGCTACTCAGGAGGCTGAGATCTGAGGATCATGGTTCAAAGTCAACCCTGGGCAGGAAAAGTGCATGAAACTCTTACCCCCAATAAACCACCAGAAAACTGGAAATGGTGCTGTGGCTCACATGGTAGAGTGCTTGCCTTGCATGCATGAGGCCCTGGGTTCAATTCCTCAGCACCACATAAGCAGAAAAGGCTTGACATGGCACTGTGGCTCAAGTGGTAGAGCACTAGGTTTGAGCAGAAGTGCTGAGGGACAGCACCCAGGCCCAGAGTTCAGGCCCCACAACCAACCGAAAAAAAAAAAAAAAGTTATTAGTAATTAGGAAATGGTGCTGTGGCTCAAAGTGGTAGAGCACTAGCCTTGAGCAAAAGAGCTCAGGGACAGCACTCAGGTATTCAAGCCCCATGACCACCTCCCCCCCACACACACACACACAAAATAGCAGTTAATAGTGATTTTGATTTCAGGTTAATTCATAGGCATTACTGCCAAAACTGCCTTGTTGCATTTCTGTTTTGATCTTGACAGGAGCTTCGGAAGTATAAGGAAAATGAGAAGGACACTGAGGTGCTAATGTCAGCCCTCTCCGCCATGCAAGACAAAACACAGCACCTGGAGAACAGCCTAAGTGCAGAGACGAGAATCAAGCTGGACCTGTTCTCTGCTCTGGGCGATGCAAAACGACAGCTCGAGATTGCACAGGGTAGGAGAATGCTGGGCCCGATAGGGTTGCAGGGCTGAGGCGGCCCAGAGCTGTGGAGAGCAGGTCTCCCCTGAGCACGGAATCTAAGAGCATTTCAGGGCTAGCTTCAAGTGGTTTAGTGAGTGGCCAACACTGAATTGTAGGAATCTTCACGTTAATTCATTTTGAGATGAGAGCATGTCACATGCAGGGCATACAGAGAAGAGTATGCATTTCTATATTCAAGGAGTTCCTGGTGTTATTGATGAAATACCAAGATGTGAAGTTCTGAAAAGGTGCTGACATCACAGCATCTATGGGCCTGTGGGACAGCCTGAGGAGTTGGAGGGCACCACGTCCCAGGGAGCTGACGTCTGAGCTGCAGCCTCCATGATGAGAAGGGGTCGGCCCACTGCAGATGCAGCCTGGGGATAAGAGGTCAGGGAGCAGTGCCTACCCCGATAAAAGACAGCCTGGCCAGGCTGGGAGGGGACATGGAGCCCAGTGCCTTTCTAGCTGCTGGCTGGGAGGAGAGTCTGGAGAGCAAGCCATTCACTTAGAAGATAATTATTAAGATCTACTACCAGGCACTCTGAGAGTTCAGAAATACAATCCTGGCAGGGTCAGGCAGAGAACAGTAGGGAGTATGCCACATGATGATAAGGACCAAGAGGAAAGGAAATCAGTGGTGAGGAGGGCATGTGTGAGAGCCATACACAAGGCTGTTCTTCCACAGTGCAGCCATGAGTGACCCAGTGAGTAGCTGGAGGAAAGCGCTTCCCGGAAAGGGAGCAGCAAGTGCAAAGGCCTGGGGTGGTGGGCTATAGAAGTCACTGACACCACACGAGTGGCTGAGCAGAAGGATGAGTAGCAGGCGGATGCACAAAAAGGGCGCACCACCAGGAGGCATTTGAAGGCGGGCTCCTGGGAGTCCTGCCTGGCCTGGCGCCCACTTGTGTCCTGGGCTTGCACATGGGCAGTGTTTCCCTGGAATGGAGCAGTGCCTGGCCTCAGGAGCCCAGTGCAGCTCGGCTTCCCAGCACGGGTTGTGCTCCAGTGCCCGCCCAGAACTCTGAGGAGTGAGAGGGCTCGCAGCTGACGCTCACTCTACCGCTTGAGCCACATCTACAATCCACAAGGCTCTTGGGGGTACTTGGAGGTTACTGATGAAAGAAATCAAACTTAAGTCTGAATGAGGAAAGGATGCCACTCAGTATTCGATTCACTGAAACTTCTTTTGTTCAAGGAAAGAAGTTTGATGTTACTTGGAGTTTAGGGGAACTGAAGTAAGGGAGCTGTCCCTTCCCTATTTCCCCACTGCCTCCCTCCGCTGGCCTGCCCAGAACAATCCAATAAAATCCAAACTCAGTAATTCAAAGCAAACCCTGGTTGTTTTTTACCTCCCGTCCTATATCATTTGATCCATCCTAGTTGCAAAATGACTTTCATCTCTGCTGCCTTCTTTTGAGATGCGCCACTGAGCATTCTCACCCTCCAAATAGGCTCTCATCTTCTACAGGATTATCCGAGATCTCACCTGCTCTCCCTCCCTTCTTCCCCCCCTCCCTTTCTTTTTTGTCAATTGAGGGACTTGAACTCAAGGCCTGGGCACTGTCCGTGAGCTCTTTTGCTCAAGGCTATGCTCTACCACTTGAGCCACAGCGCCACTTCCAGTTTTCTGGTGGTTTATTGGAGATAAGAGTCTCATGGGGCTTCCCTGCCCCAGCTAGCTTTGAACTGCAAGATCTCAGCCTCAGATTTCAGCCTCCTGGGTAGCTAGGATTCCAGGTGTAAGCTGCTGGCACCCGGCTTGTACTCTCTTTCTTTTTACTCCTAAGTGTTCTTTCTCTCAAAAACTAGGGAGGCTTTAGAACATTGAACAGAGAGAAGTCCTGGACTAAATCTTGCCCTGCCTCCTAGTAACTAAAGCATTTCAGCAGCGTTCGTGTCTCGTGAGCCTCAGCTTTCCCCTGGGCAGGGCATGAGGAGGAGCACAGTGGAAGGAGACCCAGTCTCCACCCCCACAGAGCTCCTGGTCCAGCAGAGATAACTGGTGTGGGTCACAGGATCATTGTAGGAACAGAGGCTGCCGCCAGGCTGCCTGCCTCAGTCCGCATCACCAGCTTACCTTGAGCAAGTTGCCTCAGTTTAAATTGGATGGTGACAATTCCCATTGTTAGCATTGGCAGGAGGAAGAAATGAGTTAGTGCATGCACACACCTAGAGTGTAAGCGCCTGGGGAGCCGTGCGTGTCAGGCCTTCTGTTCTTACAAAGAACATGCAGCAGAAAGAAAAGCGTGGGGTAAGTGGCGAATCCAGGAGTGGGGAGCTGAGTTAGATGGGAGGCCCAGGGAAAGCCCTGGTGAGGAAGAAGCAGCCCTCAGCAGCTTGCTGGCAAAGCAAGCCTGGGGCAAGGCACTTCTGGGGAAAGGGACCTGCGCAGCACAGGGACGGAGCGGAGCGCGTGTGGAGAAGGCGGCGTGAGCAGTGGTGCTATGCCATGGGCAAAGGGCACTGTGCCCAGCAGGGGCAGGCAAGCTGCATCATTTGAGAAAGGAAACAAGGGCCTGCTGGCACCTGTGATGGTGTCGGAGCCCCTGTGCTTCTGGGATTGCCACTGAGACACAGTCCCTCCTCTCCCCAGGTGTTCCCACACCAGCACCGTGCATGGCTGCTTCGAGGGAGCTGTCACCTTCAGACAGGGGCTTGTGGAGATGGACTTCTTCTTTCTTTTCTTTTTGCTGGCCCTGGGGCTTGAACTCAAGGCCTGGCAGCTATTCAAGAGTAACATTCTACCACTTGAGCCAGAGCTCCATTTCTAGCTCTGTGGTAGTAGTTAAGATTCTCATGGACTTTCCTGCCTGAGCTGGCTTTGAACCATGATCCTCAGATCTCAGCCTCCTGACTAGCTAGGGTTACAGGTGTGAGCCACTGGCACCCAGCCTGGAAACAGACTTCTTGAGTCAAAACAGAACAGAATTGCTTTTTGCCTCTTGGTAAACTGGCTAACTGGTGATCTTGCTGGCTGACTATTGATATACTGCTATGAACTAAAAATGGTTTTCCATTTTTCCAAGGTTGGTCAAACCTATGCTACCAAGAACATATGGCCCACAGTGCCCAAAACATTTGCTGTTAGGCTCTTAATGGGAACAGATTGCTTTGCCTGCTCCTGTAAACCCTGAGCGTGGAGTTATTCCCGCCGCCGCCGAGTCCCCTTGGGTGGGCCTCCTCCTCACTAATGGTGGGTCTTTAATTTTGCAGGACAAATCCTCCAGAAAGACCAGGAAATCAAGGACCTAAAACAGAAAATAGCCGAAGTCATGGCTGTCATGCCCAGCATATCGTACAGTGCCGCCACCAGCCCCCTGAGCCCCGTCTCTCCCCACTACTCTTCCAAGTTTGTGGAGACCAGCCCCTCTGGACTCGATCCCAATGCCTCTGTCTACCAGCCCTTGAAGAAATGAAGGCCCGCTGTGTGTGCCCAAGCATTTGGTGACCAGAAGGCCTCGAAAGCAGCGTCTCTGGCAGTCAAGATTTAAAAAAAAAAAAAAAAAAAAAAGTTTATATTGTATTTTGTGGGACTGTATATGTTGTCATTTTTAAAAAGGGGGGATTATAACATCCAAATCTGATTAGAACTGCCCGTCAGTTGTCCTGTAAATTTCTAGAAGACCTCACAGAACTTTGCAGGGTTGTTTTTTTTTTTGTTTTTTGTTTTTGTTTTTGGCCAACACATTAAAACCATTCTTGGATTTCAAGTAGCCAATTTTGCCTTTTATGTATTCTTACATGGTTTCCTCTTGAAGAAAAAAAAAAGCAAGAGTTTTTGTTTTTGAACTCTTTGTTCTTAAATAAGCAATCAAACTGCATATTGAATTCCCGTGGGTTCTAACGAACACTTCATTTTTAGGGTAAAAAGAGTTAATACGTTAACACAGCTTTGGTTTCATAGCTGCCATAAAGAAAACAAAAATGGCCCCTCCACAGACCAAACCAAGTCAAGAAGCGTCACGAAAGCTGAGGCGAGCGAAGGGCTAGAGTAGCTGACCGAGCACGCAGACTGTGTCTGTCTGAAGCATCTGTCCCCTCGGGGTGTGGTTAGTCCTAGAAAACGGTGAGCAGCAGCTTCGCGGTGCCTTGGGAAAAGACATTTCAAGAGGAAACATGGTCATTTAAAACTATTTTCCCTCATTTCTGTCATCTGTCTTCTATCTGTACCAAGCTCACTGCGGATCCTGCCGTACAGCTGGTGGGTAACGGGGCGTTTATTACCAGCATGCCACCTCTTCCGTCTCTTCTCTAGAAAGCATCATGGGGTTCTGTGCTTATCATGGCCGTGCTTCTGGGGTGACGGCAGCTGGGTGACATTTGTGTATGAGGGACTTGTAATGATGGCTAGTAAAAGCTGTGGTTGAGGGTTTCCAGGGGTTTCCCCTCCTTTCATTTAACTGGCCTTTCTTCACATTTCATCATCTTGTGTTTGATGATTTAAAAGAAGGTTGACCATTCCTCAGCTCTGTGCCAAGGAGGGATTTTTGGGGTTTTGTGGTTGTTTTTTTTTTAATATTTTAAATTCAAGACACCGCACAGCGATATTGTTTTTTAACTGTGTATTATACATTGGTAGGAAGGTGTTTGCGCAGGCAACTTCTGGAAGTGTTTCAGAATCAGGGTGGGCTGGGGGGGAGGGATGGGAGAGAGGGGCAGAGCAAACCTGTATTTGGAAACTAGGAAAAATTAAGAAACCAAATAAATTGGTTTTGCATCCTTACCATGGATTCTGGAAGGACATAGTTCTAAAACAATTTCCTGTTAATTGGCATGTATGTCTCATTTAAAGCAAATTAAGTAGGACAAGCAAGTCAGTAAAATAGAAGTATTAAAGAGATCCATCCTTTTAATCACAGATCTTGTGTTGGGATTAAGAAAACTCCTAGCTTTAGCCAGGTGTGCATGTGGCTGCCATTTGCATTTTTGAATCATCTTGTGTAACTGTCACCATGAAAGTGTTACTCAGAATTGTCATAGATTTTTCCATCTTTGTGCAAGAACATGGAAAATTGTTACTGACTTTGTGTTGAGGTTTCCCCCATGTTGCTGCCTTTGGGACACTATTTTCGTTCAATACTTGGTCTTGGCTGCATTCTTTTATTTTTCCCCCCTGTGGGGTTCAAAAAAAATAAACATTTTCTTACTGATAAAACTAGTTTTCTGCCTTTTTTAAACTTTCCTGGAGGGCACACCGAGGTAGATTGTCCTGAGCGGGGCTCTGCCCCAGCTACAAGGAGGGGCGCTGGGCAGGGAGCAAACGCAGGTGTGGGCGGAAGCCACCAGGCTCTCTAGGCAGTTTGTCTCCTAACCTCACTTCAGACACATCCATCCTAGTTCGCTCTCATGCTCAGATTGGGGCAAGGGCTGCCTTGTTGCTGGCATAACTTCTCTTCGTAAGAAAGCAAGCTGTAAGGGCTAGTTGGTGAGAAAATCTTGAGAGCAAACTGTCTTTATGATAGCCTGCTCTCTTCCATTTTCCAGAATCTTTCGCTACTTAGTGACCAGTATCCTGATGGATTTCCTATTTGCTACAGTTCCCAAACAAACCGAGAAGACCGTTCCCATGATGCCCTCTCACCTTCAGAGGTTTGTCTGTTTTCATCTAAGAGGCCGGTGGCCTCTCTTGGCCCATGTTTTCCTCTCTTGGCCATGGTTACCATTGATCTTGGCTCAGGTTTTGGAAAATTCTGCTCTTGGCATGTCACCCTCTGTCCTTGTTGCTGAGTGCCCCCTTGCAGACATACTGTGCTTAATCCCAGGAGAGCTCCCCAGAGGAGTGCCTAGCCACCCCCCTACCCCCCAACCCCCGCCTTCCTGAAGGAATGTGTCTGAGGCAGACACATTGTTGTCTTCGTGGTTTTAGACCCAACATACAGTGTCTCTACATAGTTCATTATGATTGATTACATGCCATAAAGCAGTGCTTGCCATTCTAGATGGTTGATATTTACAGAAAGAACGGGCTCTTAGGACTGGCCAAAACAACTCTTTTATTGCCACACACACCCACCAACTGGACAAGGGATGATCATCCTTCCAAGAGATCCTACAAAAGGAGGGTAAACAATTCCTAATGACTCCCCGCCTGAAGAAGGGACAACCCACTCTTGGCATCCCATTTCTTCTCACTCATGGTGCTGTATTAAACTCTGGAAAGCCACCTAGGAGGGCTGACCGTTGCTGTTTTTGTTTTTGTTTTGTTGGTCGTGGGGCTTGAACTCTGGGCCCGGGCTCTACCTCTTGAGCCACAGTACCACTTCCAGTTTTCTAGTGGTTTTTATTGGAGATCAGAGTCTCATGGACTTTCCTGCCTGGGCTGGCTTTGAACCATGATCCTCAGATCTCAGCCTCCTGAATAGCTAGGATTACAGGCATGAGCCACCAGTGCCCAGCTGAACATTTGTTTTTGAGGGTAGGAGGATTAGGGCTTTGAACTCAGGCCTCATACTTGCTAAGCAGGTGCTCTAACACTCAAGCCACTCCACCAGCCCCTTTTGGGGTTGGTTATTCTTGAGATATGGACTCACTTTATGCCCAGATTGGCCTGGAGTGTGGTCCTCCTATTTATGCTTCTCTGTCACTGGGATGCACATCACTTTGCCTGGACATTGTGCTTTCCCTGTAGCTAGGGATGACAGGTGCATGCCACCACAACCAGCTATTGCTTGCGAGATTGACCTCAAATGATGATTCCTCAGTCTACTTTGGAGTAGCTAGAATTACAGGTTTGAGCCACTATACCTGACTAAGGTTAACTGGACCTTTCTAACAGCTGCTTGTGAAATTCCACACCAGAGGGAGCTGAAGAGAGAACCCAGAAACAGCCCCATACCATGTCTGTGAAGTATGTCTAGTCAGCTCTTTCCAGATGGTCTATTCAGTAAAAAGTCTCAGATCTACAAATGCCTGGCTGAGCCCGGGCAGGAAAGTCTGTGAAACTCTTACCTCCAATAAGCCACCAGGAAATGGGAAGTGGCGCAGTGGCTCAAGTGGTAGAGCGCTCGCCTTGAGCTGAAGAGCTGAGGGACAGCGCCCAGGCCCAGGGTTGAAGCCCCACAACCGACAAAAAAAAAAAAAGTCTGGCTGCCTGTCCTGCCCACTTGGCTTCCAAGGCATCCCCCGTCCAACCGGCCTGTCCTGTTCTAATTCTAGCAGAGCTCTGTGGCATAGAGAGCCAAAGCCCTCCAGACAGCTCTTGACACCTCTAGCTCTGAGCCCTTAACTTCTCTGGGGAGCTGTTTTCTCACCTTTTAGGAGTTTTTTTCCTGCTTAGAAGAGGGACTTGAGACATGACGCACAGAGCTCTCTAAACCACCCAGGCCCTCCACATTGCAGCAAGGAGTCAGAATGAGATAGGGACCTGGCTCAGAACCGCTGTGCCTGGAGCCAGCTCTGTTTGCACAGCCCGATGCCGAAGCTCCTGCTCCCTGGATGTGTTTGACAACCACAGGCCAGCCACGCCGGCATCCTTGTCAGAACCAGACCTCAGGCTCCTCAGCCTTCCTCCCCATGCATTTGATCCTGAACTTCTCAGCAAGGCCTGCAGGTGATTTGGTCATGTGTTTGTTTTAAAGTCCCATCCTGAGCTGGCTTTCCTAACCTGACAATTCTAAATGCTGCCAAGTCTTTCTATGAGTTCAGAAAGGAAAACAAGCCCTCTGGCTTTGAAAATTCAGAATCAAGAGTTTAATTGATGACCAGGGCTTACCTTTTACATACTTTATTATGTTGTCTCACCCTTAGAACGTAAGCTCTATGAAGTCAAGATTTTTGTCTTACCTATTATTGTGCCTAAAATAATGACTACAGATTCTTAACAATATCAAATGAATTCGTCGACCAGGCAGGTGCTTGCCAACTAATAGAAGGAGCATGAGATCTAAATATGTGTCTTACCACATCAGAAAATCTCTGTGATAATACCTGCCACTGGAATGACAAGTCTAAACAGATTGTTCTGGAAGGAGAGACAGAAGTTTGAAGTAACACGTTTATGATGACATCTCCCATCTGTCTGTCTCTGGTTTCTTCTAAAACCTTGACTTACTTGTCAGATTTTTCTTGAAACTCCTGCTTGATTTGGCCAGGTGTGAAGATTTCCTGAACAGCTGGATGTACCAAAAACAAATCACTTCTCTGTCTAGGAACCCTCGCCACAGGGAACCATCTCCTCTCTGGCTTTCCTCAGGGCCAGCTCACTGCATTGAGAGCCAATGTGCCGACTGTCCGCTTTGATAGCAATTGAATTATCAGGTGTTTCCTTCAGGAAGGCATCTGGCTGAGCAAGTGCGTCCAAGGATTTTCCCTCTTACCAAGAGAGAGGCTACTTTTCCTTCCTTCCTTCCTTCCTTTCTTCCTTCCTTCCTTCCTTCCTTCCTTCCTTCCTTCCTTCCTTCCTTCCTTCCTTCCTTCCTTCTTTCCTTCCCTTCCTGCCTTCCTTCCTTCCTTCCTTCCTTCCTTCCTTCCTTCCTTCCTTCCTTCCTTCTTTCCTTCCCTTCCTGCCTTCTTTCCTGCTTTCTTTCCTTCTTTCCTTCCTTCCTTCAGCTTACTTTGAGCATTTCTGCCTTATTCCCATCCTACATTTGCTAGTTTCTCCTCCCTTGCTTGAGGTTCATGTCTTAACTTCTCTGGTTGGGCTTTCCAGATCTTGAGTCATAGAAGTTTTTTCATTTTCTTACAGTACAGGGGACGGAACCTAGGGCCCTGCGCATACAAAGCAAGTGTTCTACCACTGAGGTGCACCTAGCCTTTTCTAGGTCCTGGAGTCACCCTCTGGTACTCTGCATCCCAGACTTGGTTACATTGTGTGCTGGTGCCTTTCACACCCTGCCCAAGAAGCCTGGATTAGCGTACTCTGGAAGCTGGTCTGTTCTCCCATTGGTTTTCAGCACTGTCGCCCCTAGATTGGTGAAGGATTGTAAGGGAGGGACAGATGAATCTGGCAGGGTCCTTTCTGAGGTGAATTTGGTCTGGCACTGGTACCTTCTGCATCCTTGTTCTTCATACCCCATCGCCTGACTACTCAGTGGTGAGCATCTATCAAAGACAGGAATTTGTCTCAGAAATCTTGTGCTTACTAAGCAGATGCTCTGCCACCAGAGCCACACCTCCACTATGGTTTTGTGCTGGTTACTTGGAGATGGAATCTCTCTTTTTTTTTTTGTCAGTCATGGGGCTTGAACTCAGAGCCAGAGCATTTTGCTCGAGGCTAGCACACTACTAATTTGAGCCACAGCTCTACTTCTGGTTTTCTGGTGGTTCATTGGAGATAAGAGTCTCACGGACTTTCCTGCCCAGGCTGGCTTTGAACCATGTTCCTCAAGTCTCAGCCTCCTGAGTAGCTGACATTACAGGTGTGAGCCCCTGGCACCCAGCATGCTGGTTATTGTAGAGGGAAGAGTTGTGCTTTTATGTCCAGGCCAGACTGTGCCCCCCTCCTGTCATAGGAATGACAGGCTTGTGCCTCTGCACACAAATGACTGTACTCAGCACCTAGCTAGGACAACAGGCATGCGCCGTCCAGCCATGAGAGGGAGCCTCAGGACCTTCCATGCCCACGCTGGCCTCCAACTTAGATTCCTTGATCTCCACCCCCTAAGTAGCTAGGATTACAGGTGTGAGCCACCAAGCTTGTCTGCCCTTGGAATCTGAGCTACTAACAGGCCCAAGCTGACAGGGAAACACAGTTCTCAAAATGTTTGGGTTCTTGGGGCTGGGAAGTTGGCTCAGTGGTAGAGCGCTTGCCTTGCAT